CTGTACTGTACATAGGCTCGATTGTGGTTATGGGTATTTCCATAACACTTGTTGCCATTGGAGAGCTGCAGCGGCAATTGCCATCTCTGGGTTGTTCCCTCCCATCCCTTTCACCCTCCAGCAATTTTTGTTCTCCTCTATTCAGGCACATTTGAACTGATTAAATGTTCTTGGATTATGCAAGGAAACTATAGGACAAAGTAGCAGAGAATGTCCTGTTGTATTTCACCCTAATTTCAGCTGTCTATAAATTTTATCTGTACTCTTTGAAAATGTATCTTTAGTTATTCCTCTAGGCAGCAAATCCAAAATGTCTTTAATTCAGATTGTTTATTGATTCTTGATGGTGTAAACAAAATCTTAATGCACCAACTAAAAGAATCTGTATTCCAATTCTTATCCAAGTACCTTTCCCAAGCACAATTCTCCCTACCCCTAATATATACGAACTCTTCTTATTCCGGGTGCCCATTAAAAATTAAGTGCAATCAAATAAATTGAGCAAATGGTATCACAGAATTCTATTGGCTTGCAAAAAAAGTGACTATTGAACAGGATTTATATTTAGCCTTTCCACAGTTAGAAGAACATTTTGTTATCGTAATGTATGTTAACATAGTCCCTTGGTTCATATGGTTATCCTACACCAAATAAAGAACGCTATTATTTTATATTGACCCATAGTATCATTTAAAGTCTATTTAGTAAGTAAATAAAAAACATCATACCTACGTTTTTGTTAAAGGTGGAAACGATGAGTGCAGTTAGGGCTAAGATAACTTAAAGCCTAGACCCAATATGAATTATTCTCATTACTTAATTAGAAGGGACACATAGAGAAATTAAGAAGACTCTACTTATGCTTAACCCTTGCTTACCCTTTACTCATTTTTTCTTAATTTTTTTATGATGCTACTATTTACACTGTCTATTGTACCTTCAATGAATATTTTGTATCTGTTCACTCTTCTATCTTCACTATAAATATCCTAATAAAACCATCATTCTCTCACAAAAGAACTACTGCAACAACCTCCAATTTGTTTCCTAACATTCACTCTGGCCATGTTCTATCCACTATTACCACAAAAGCTTGAATAATCTTTTAAAACACATGAAGCAAATCGTTTTAGTCTCCCACTTAGAATATTTTTTAAAAAGACCAAAAAAAATGCACTTCAAATATTCACACATTTGTAAAAATTAAAACATCAAAATGTAAGACAATATTAAAATGAAATTAAACATAAAATACTGCAGATTAAGAACATTAGCTCAAGTGGTATTTAATGGGAAAATTATGTAGCTATTATATAAGTACAGTGAAAAAAGAGAGATTGAAAATGGAGCTAAAAAGTCAACTTAGAAAATTAGAAAAATAGTAGAGTAAATGCAAAAAATATAAAAGGTAAGAGTAAAAAGTTATTTAATAGAAAATATTCAACAGATAAATAAATCAAACAAACTGGTTCTTTGAAAATCTAATGGAATGGACAGAACTCTGCTACGTTTTAAGAAGAATGATCAAGAAATGAGATAATCATAGAGGACATTATGATAAAGAGATTAAAAGAAGAGAATTTCCGTATTATAGAGTTGTTCCACAAGCTTTCAAAAGATCAAGAGAAGAGAGGCTGAAACATATGTGCATTATGTCTCCACTTAGTAAGACCTCAGTGATCTTTGTTGGCACAGGTTCAGGGGGGTCAGACCACATAGTTGAAGCTTGAATGCAGTTTACATATGAGTGACTGGCAGGTGAGGAAATGTAGAAAAGAAAATGCAAGTAACTGTGCTAAAACTTAGCTGTAGAAGGAAGAGGAGGGGAAAAAAGCTGGGAGGATAGTACAGTAAAGACCAAAGCCTTTTTCACAAACTACAGTGAAGGAATCAGTAGGGAGGTAAGTGCTGGAGCTAGGAGTAGGGACCCATAGTATTATTTCGTGTGTGTGAAGGTCTTTGGCAAGGGCATCATGTTAGCCTTATTTTTCACTCTTCCCTTTGTAACAGCCCAGAGGTCTCCAAGTAACCGCTGGATATACTTCCTGTTTTAGAGCTCTCTGAAAATATTTCAAGAAGTCTTTATACATTTTTCTTTTTCCCACTTAATTAGGGGCCAAGGGATATGCTTCGAGTAGAGTGAAATGTCTTTAATTGAATTCTGTGTCTTGGTCTTTATCATCATAAGAGTATACACACATTGACTCTGCTGATTGCATTATGTGTGGTAGCAATAGGAGGGTGATTAATATTAAAATATTTTAATCATTAAAACACCTCTAATTAAATTATTTTATTTTTTCCAAAGCTTAATGTGGGAATGTTTTCATTTTTGTTGCAACGTTTACATCTATCTCTCAGTAAGAACTTTCAAGTTTGTTGATTGCAAATAATCCTTGGACAGGCAATGAGAAACAGTTTTAAGGGAAGGTTAGTTGGATAGGGTTGATACCACACTCAGACTTCATCACATTGACCTCCACATCTGCTTTCTTCCTACCATACCTCATTTTTTACATTAAAAAATCTGTGTAAATTTTATGTTAAGTTAATATAAGGAATTGAATGTGGGACTTCCTCCAGCTTCTGTTGGCTGCCCTGCCAAGTAGAAGGGAAAAGCTGTGTTGTTTACACTTCTCAGTGCTACAGAGCATTGTTCACTCTAGGGAAATCATCACTATTTCTAACTATCCATGGCAGGAAGAATTCTTCATGAGGTATTAGGGAAAGGTTTGAGATAGGGTCAATACAAGGGGAAAATCTCAGTTTGGCTCTATTTTTGACTTCTTATTTACTTTTAGGATAAACTTGATAGCATACCGTTGTGTTTACCCTGGGGGAAAAGCAGGGAAAGAAAACAAACAAACAAAAATCCCCACAATTTTGGACATTCTAGAAAAAGTTTTAAAATACCTAGAAGTAGCTTAAAATAATAATAATTAAAATAAATAAAGTACTGAGAGAGAGGGATGGGAGGGAGAGAGAGAGAACAAGAGAATGAGGACAAGGATGCAAGCATATAGAAAAGCACAAGAGTGTAGAGAAGGCCTCTTAAAAAGAACCTGAAATCTGTTCCGGAATTCAGCATGATAGTATAAGGCAGGCATCATTATTTCAAATCACATCTTGGCTCTGCCCATCTTAGTTCCGTATCCTCAGAAAAGTTACCCATTCCCTCTGTGTTCCGAAATTGCATCTATAAAATGTAGTTGTTGTTGATGTTCTTCTCCTTCCATCCCCCCTTTCCCTTCTCTTCCTCCTCCTCCTTCAAGAGTTTACATAAATGAAAGTGAAACCCACATGTTACTGAGTCTAAACAGCTTGTTGTTAGGAAGTGTTTAATAGTTATATTGAATAGTCTGTAAGTAACTCAAGAATTTTACCCATAATTCTCATATATTTAGCAGCTACACTTTGGTCTCTGAGTATAAAATATCATTTTTTTTTTTCATGTGGTCCTGTTAAATTGGTCATAACTGATACAGGACAAGCATTAGTACTCAAACCAAGTGAAAATATCTGTATACTGTGTATGTGAGAGACCAATGGACCGTGGAAGCAGCCTACACAAGAAGGTGTCCACTTCAAAAGGTGATTAATTTATCCGAGTGGATCTTTTCTCTTATGGAGTTTGAAAGACGGGGAGGGAGGAAAGGGAAGGAGAAAAGGCAGACAAAGGAGAGTCAGAGAAGTTGAGTCATGCGTATGTAAGAGTCAGATTGCATCCATAGAATAGATTCATATTTCTGAGAGGAGAACAAAAGAGGGGAGGGTCATTGAAATTTCCAACTCCAAGCAGAAAAATATTCTATTGACGGTGTTTAACAGTTTCATCCTCACCACAGTATTCAAAACTCTAGTCCTATAAGAGGTGAAAAAAATGATTTCCAGAGAGACTTCAGATATAAGAATGTTAAAGATAAATAGAGAGCAGTAGCAATTTCAGTGGTTAATAATCAATTATTAAGAGTAGGTGGTCGTAAGGGCCCTCAGGGAAATGTTAAAGAAGCCAGTGCTGATAGCCTGGGGCCAGGTAGCTGGAGACCCAGAGGAGGAAACAGATCCAAAACTCAGGAAAACAATCTCTGAGCCACATTTCTTAAAGTTAGTCCCATTCCCTTAGCCAAAATAATAATAATACATAGAACCTGATTTTTCAAATGCTACTGGATGTATTCTTTACAATTATAATTTGATGTAGAGCTTTTTAGTGAATTATATGCCATTCTTATCACAGAAATGGATGTAGCTTTTCAACACAAGCTGACAGGCAGCATGGCACAATGGTGCTCTTTTCCCCATGGGACCCCGGTGTGCAATGGCTGCAAACAGCAGCAGCATCCTTGGTAGTGTGTGCAATCTATTATTTGTATGGGTTGTTCTAAAGGACCTTGGAGACAGTCCTTTTCCAGTGGACACTCATGTCTGATCTCATGCTATTTCCAATCTAGACTCCAGACAGGTATATGGGATGCCTTTGGAAAGCTCCAGGGCACAGTGGCCAGAGTCCACATTGGCCAAATAATCGTGTCCATTCCCACCAAGCTGCAGAACAAGGAGCATGTGATTGAGGCTCTACGCAGGCCAAGTTCAAGTTCTCTGGCTGTCAAAAGATCCACAATCCCAAGAAATGGGGCTTTACTAAGTTTAAGGCGGATGAGTTTGAAGACATGGTGGCTGAAAAGCGGCACATCCCAGATGGCCGTGGGATCAAATATATCCCCAATCGTGTGCCCTTGGACAAATGGTGGGTCCTGCAATCATGAGTCTTGTTGCTGCCCTCTCTCACTCTTCCACTAATAAATCCCTATTTCTGTCAAAAAAAAAAAAAAAATGTGGCTCCAGAAACTAGATTATCTGCTTCTGAATTCTGGCCCCTCTACTTATAAACTGAGTGATACTGGACAAGGTACTTAACATTTCTGATCCCCAGTCCCCTCATCTATAAAATGGGATTGATTTTTAAATGCATAACATAAAGTTATTGTCAAAATTAGATGTGAAACACTTAGAGCAGCATCTGGCAAATAATCACCACCCAATAAATATTAGCCATTATTCTTAGATTTAATATTTCATAATGTACCGATATTAAAAAGTCAAGCAGCACGACATATAAAGTTTTTCACACACGTGCATATAATATCCTATAATACCTTATGCATATGGAAGGAAAATATCAATAATAGGAACTTAGATTAAGCAGTCTTTACTCCTTCATTTAATAGAGTTAGGAAATTTGAACAATACCAAGTAGCAAAGATGGGACAGAAACCAGTTATTATGAATCCCAGTTTAGTTTCAAATTATGGAAATAGCTATAAAAATAAAAAGGACAAAGTGGAGATCATTTGAAGAACTGACAATATTGTAGACTAATTCGAGGAAGAGCCTACAATCAAAAATGATTGTAGATTCAGCATCATTGGAAAAATAATGGAAATTTTAAGAAGGGAGGTTTTTATTTATTAGATAAAGCGTGCTAAGGAAATAACACAAGTTGAATATTTTATCTCTGAATAAAGTATTTGAAAAGCAGTGCACTTTGATATACTAATGATTCAAAAGACATTTTTTGATATATGTGTTTGGAAACTGAAATGCCATACCAGAATCTAAAAGTATGGTTCCTCTATTTTGAATAGTGTCTTCAGTGCATGAAATGTTGGTGATTTCTGCATAAGACCTTGACTTCCAAAGATAAAAATCAGGATATTCGTGTGAGTTATTTGATATTAAAAGATAATGTATTATAGCATCCATCTGGTTCTGGGAATTTTAAAATGTCTCTGTATTGCTTATTTCTCACCACCAGTTTCCATCACTTATTCTACTTCTTTGAGTGGCCCAGCCCTGGAGGGAACTAGCAGTTCAGTTTCATTCACACCAGCAACAGGCATCCAGACTTCAGAGTCACATTTGCACAACACTTTAAGTGCTGGTTCTGTTTCCCACACTTTAGTGGGCACCAGACATCGTTTTGGCCACATTATTTATACACACTTAGAGCAATAAGATATTTCCCCTAAGCTTTTCATTTTTCATTATTTTGTTTAAATTTCCCATCTTTTTATCTAAAAAAAAGTAAATCACCTAAACATGGACTTAATGTACTTGCTTACGGCCCTTCTCATTTATTTACATTGAATGTCTAAAATTGCTTTTTAAAAAAGAGATTATCCCATTACTGTAATTCTCTCCTTTTTATCATATCCTCTTCCAATCTCTAATCTTCATACCGTCACCTCTATTAAGAAATGTGGGCATGCTTTGTATTTGCATGAAGTACAAATTATTTGCAGTGTCTCAGAGACACCCAGAAAGCTTCATCTACTTTTTTTATAAAATTTCCCATATATTTGGATGTAGTTCTTGTATATTTACTGCTGCTGACAGTTCTATTGAATTTAGAAGCACTAACATCATCTTCAGTTATTATTATTGACGTGGAAGTTATGAAGGATATAGTTGAATTTAAGAACTATGACCTTTCTCTGAGGTCACTAATTAAACTTTATGACTTACCTTATGAAAAGCTGGAGTCAAAAAAAGGACAGAATAACTTTTTCTCCCTTCAGGTTGTAATATAATTTATGAACAACAGTCAGGATTTGCTCAAAGTATTTCCACAATGTAAGATATTGCTTTGAAAGGCCTGGGTGGCATTACTTGGATGAATCCTGACCTAGATTCCTAAGAGAAGCAGGCCTCCCAGCTCTCCGCTCCCTCTCAGACAAACAGTAATCTGATTCTCAAGCACAGAAAGCTGTCACAATTTGTGACCTTTACTGTGAGTGATATAAACTAAGCCAAAGTAGAGACAGAATTACCTCTTACCTCGTGGAAAGTCACTCTTGAGGTCACTTTAAGGACAATGTGAGGACGGGTGCCCTACTGCTTCTTTGCCCTGTTAGGCCTTTCTGTTTGGCTGATTTATCCATCCTAGCACACGCCCTGCTCCAGTAATTCAAAGAGAACTCATCCTATACTGGATGAGATCAAGACTGGTAGCCACCGGAGACTGGTTTCTGTGAAGGAAAATTATGTCAGCCGGCAGGCAGGTCAGGGACTGACGGCATTAAATGAAATCAGCTTCAGTTTTTGCGTTCATCAGTCATCATCTGCCTCATATATATGGACCAAAAAAATGTCAATTTGCTTCACATTGGCCTTTTTATATAAATTTAATATTTTATAATATACTGTGTTAAAACATAAATGACTACAGGTTGGTAACCTAATGCAATTTGCTCTATTATCTCAATTAGTTATTTTATATTCACTGCTTCTAAAACTAATTGCAAAGAATTTTCTTTTTATTTTATTATTTAATCATTAATTTGCAGTAATTTTATAATGTCTGTAAAATTGTTTATTTGTTCATAATATTTTCCCCTGGACTTTTCATATTATATCTCTAATGTTCTCCTTTCTGTTCTTATGTGTAACTACATAAATGTTCCCATGATGTATTTATATGTTCTCTGGAGTTCAGGTGAATCAATTTTACTCATTTATTTTATTTTGCTTTCCTACTTTCAGGTAAAAGACAACCAGTTAAAACATTTTCAAATTTAATTACATTTTTAAAAGCCTTTTAATTTGCACTGTTTCTTATTAAGTGTGTATAAGTTGCTTAAAATCAGCTTATATCTTAAGTACAATTTTAGGACATGCATAAGTGCTACAGGATGTTACTTATGTCATTTTTCATAAACTGTGTAAGTTGGATTTAGGGACATAACATTCACATATTTAATGTTAATCTGTTAGGATCTATTTAGAGCCCTTCTTCACAGAGTCATAGTACTCAGAATTTTGATACTTTTATAGAATTTTGGATCCATGGAAGAAAACGCTAAGGTAAAAATCTTAGGTAGGAGAAATTGTATTTTGAACTACTAAGTGAAAATCAGCCTATTGTTTTACTATTTATATTATATTTAATATTTTATATTGCTTTTTATAATTATATATTGCATTATTATACTGATATACATTATGCATAGTAGTTATGAGTGTTATAATTTTTAAGAATAATAATAATGAGCATTTATTTTACTTAGATTGCCATGGAGCTCAATTAGAAGAAGCTTCATACAGTTAATTAATGCTCTGAAAGATTAAATCTAATCAGAACAATTAAGTCACTTGGGATCATTTCCTGATGGTGTTTGCATTTTTAACCACTAGTAGGCATTTTTTGACTAAGAATCAAAAAAGAGGACAAAGGTTATGTAGATATTAAGACCATATCTATGACCATAACTACTCAGAAGAAATATGGAAAGACCTTCCCAAAAAGATTTGTGAAATGATTAACTCACAGAATCTGCAAATTCAATAAGAAGCCATATAAAAATTTTCAGAGAATTCTGTGGTTTATTGTTTGTTTATTTGTTTGTTTGTTAATAGCACCATTTGTTAATCCTGCTAAATCCTAACCATTTACTGAAGATGTCACTTAGCTTATAAAGAGTTAATTACTCAGTGACTGAAAGACAATGAAGAACAAGATGTCAGAGCAGAGAGGCAGCTTCTTCTAGCTGTGTGCTTTTACTCTATTGCTATTAGTAAATAGGAGACCCAAATAGCAGAAGCTAGCCCTTTCACCAAGGATCTTTCTTTGGGGAGGGGACAAAAGGTAAGGGGGCACTTTTTGACATTTCTCATTGAGGAGGTTGGAAGAAGGAGGTAGTTTATTTTTCCTTATGAGTTGTATATTGCCACAGTGACAGCTCTGATAATGATTAGGAAGCACAAACTTAGATTTCTTAGGAGAATCCTGGATGTCATGGGCCAAAATAAAATCATTTTTTGCCATTTATCACTTAATGATAGCTTAACCACTCCAAAGATAATAACTTTTAAAATAATTAAGCAATTATTTAAACATTGATACTTTTTGGTTATTTGGGGGCACAATACAAATGGCTTGTTAAAATTCTGTGACTTTTCACAAGTTTTACATAGGTACCAAAGAATATTTCTTTTAAATGGAAACTAGGTTTTGGAAGATTGCTTTGTTCTTTTACAATTGTGAGATATAGGATGTTCGAATAATTTCACAAGGAGACTTAATAATAAAATCTCTTTAGCAGATTATTAAAATTTCCTTGTTAAGTATTATTTAAAATTCTCTATATTCTTATAACTTATCTAGTAAGGTGTTGATTTCAGAAAGATATGTGAAAGTTACACACTAACTTTGTGGATTTGCCAATATTTAACTTATGTATTAAGTACATAAAGGTTAGTGACTACTACAATTTTTGTTTTATATATTATTAATATAAATTATTAATTTGTTTCCATTTTTAAAAAAACCTCTTTGGCAGAAAAGTGTTTTCTGGTTAATGGCAATATAGTGGCAATATGTTACTGGTGAGCAGGATATAGGACA